TGGGCGTACGGGCGGACGGCCGGGCGGGCGGGCGCGTGCCTGTGGAGAAACGATATGCCTCCGCACCGATTGCTTGAATCGTTCCGTTAGGGTGTCGCGACGTGATATTGGATGTCGGAGCGCAGTCGCCCGACGGTGGAAGTGGGTGGGCGGGCGCGCGGGCGGCGAAAAGAGTGGAAATCACTCGTCGAATGAAACATTGCCTCGTGCGTTGCAGAGGAGTTCGCAGCCTGTAACTGGAAGAGTGGAAGGTGTGCTTTGTTGATTGATTGCGTGGGCTTTTTATTTCTTGTTTTGTTTTTCTACAACACGTATTGTCATGTGTGGAGAATTTCAGAACAAAAGGTCACACGTCCACGGTCGTTTTTCGAGGAAATAAGGAAAGCTGCGTAAAATTAACGTTTTTTGATGAAACATCTTTTTTGTTGGCTCTTTTAAATATGAAACTTGATGATTTTGACGGCGACGTTTTGATTGACGTACAAAACACGTTTGATTTACCTGTGTATAAAAAAATGTTGTATTTGTGACCTTTTGTTCTGAACTTTCTCGTATTGAAACACATATTTTAATGGGTGATCTTGTTTAATTATATACGTTTATAATCATTTTATGGTTCTACTTATCAGATTCCAGAAGTCTTTCTTTAGTATTTTAGTCTTGGGTACCTAGCTGACAGCTAAATCATTAACTTATTTTTTAAGAAATTTCCAATTCCATATTGATTCCATCTGCTTCCATTCGACAAAATCAGCAACATTTTGTGTTACTCAGGCCATTTTCCACCCCACCCTACTTCATAAAAAGAATAACATAATTCATTGATCCCACAAAACCCAACTGTCAAATGCCATGGACTGAAATTCGACTCCAGTTTAAATTGATAAACCTGAATAACCAAGAAACTACGATTCACGAAAATCAGGTTGATACAACTAAAGTCCCTAGTCAATAATAAAAGTACACTTTCATTAAACAATGCAATCTCCTTATATAAAATAATAATTAGACCGCTTATGCTCTATGCCTACTGAATGTACATCAGTGCCTCACAAACCAGTATGAATAAAATTAAAATTGAGCAAACAAATTCGCCTGACTTGCAATACATGCCCCATGGTTCATATCAGACAAATAACTCCGTAAAGAATTAAATGTTAATTAATTAAAAGAATTAAATTATCACACACCATATGGATGGGTGGAAATCAAAACGGTATAAGTGACATTTTATAAATTCAGAGAAAATTGTTTATTAATTCAATATAACTGTAACGTCGTAGTGCTTTGATTCATCATTAAAACGATGACATTTAAATTATTCATTAAAATTATGAAATGACATTGCCATTGAAATACAGTTTAATATAAACACTTTTTTCTCGGGATATATAAAATGGCACTTATACCGTTATGGTTTTCACCCATTCATATAGCTCACCTCTTTAATAACTTATTTTCAAACATAAACTTAATAGCTTAAGTCCCCACTATAATCTACCATCAATCAACTACAATTAACTCGTATTTTTCAATCTGCTTAAAACAGATTACCATTGGAAGGTTTCCTCATTTTTTCCACCAAAAACTGTATAAAATAAGAGCTTTATAAATCCCCTATATCAGTTTATAGTTATAATAAGCGTAGTTATAAGTGAACACAATACAGGTCAAAAAGTTAATAAACCGAACCATGTATACATCAACAATAAATACATTTTAAAAGCCCGACGCAGTCTGGGTGAGCAACTCTGAGAGCTTATGTACAGCATGGCCCTGAGAAAACAGTACCCTCAAAGGAACTTGACAGGATGGCGGTAGCTTACGGCATTAACTGATGTCACTGCACGGATTTTGCCCACTAGCTTCATAGCTACGTCGAATTCAGACTCTGTCTGGAGGAGAATTCTAGCGGCCGGCTGCTCTGGTCGGTAGTTTTCCTTGGATTATTCGATCAACACCAGGCAAGTGCCGGAGCAGTACCCTAAAAAAGGGGTCAAGCCTCGATCAGTCACGCTCCTTCTTTGGCCTTTCCTCATCCCATACACTATCACGTGTCACAATACATTACCACGTGTCAGGAGACCGGTCGGGAGCTGAGAGCGTGTCCCGGCTGAGGTCTGAGTCCACACTGGTGGGGAAAACCTCGCTAGCTGACGTGTAGTTTGGCGCCGGATCTCACCATCCAGCGGAGAAAGATCACCACCACCTACGAGGAAAACACATTCCCTTCACCTGCAGGACTAATGCCCCTGGCAGTTGACGCGCCCGGAATTTCTAGTCAAATAAACAATCAATCAATCTGAGAGAGCAGTAGGTCCTCCCGTGAACGGACAGAGGCGAGTGTTGTGTCTGGTGGTCACCAAGCAGCCGGCAATACTCTCTGGACCGCTTATTAGCATTCTTATCCTTCATTCCCAACCAGAAGAAAGTAACGGCCCTTGATTAGTCGACGTATGAAAATGGCCGACGCGGTAGATTCAAGTAAAATTCACAAGTGTAGCGAAGAACCAACCTTCATTATGTGTTGATATTGTATTTTCTTCAATCAGGAAACAAAAACCAGTGTAATAAAAGTTATGCCATGACTTTGTTCTTTCCATAATATCGGTCCATAAATCTTTGTGGGGCTAAAAAGTGACGTAACATTTCAAGTAACAAGATCATCAAGGAAATTGTCTATTCATTTTAATAACTTTTTCACAACTTGTTTTTTTCTATTTAATCCCTCATTTGTACAACCAACTTTCTGACGTTTATTTTGATATGGGCTTTTCCCTAATAAAATATTTTTTTAAAATTTGTATTAAGAATAATTGATTGGGGTTTTATTTTTTATTACGTGTATTTAATATAATTATGAGTCATTCTGTTTTATGCAGGGCATTTGTCTTACAACTATATTTTTGTTATTGCGTAATTATGCGTAAATTATAATATTAATTACTTTTTATATTATCAAATTTTAATGTTTTTCTTTGTATTTAGCTGTATTAAGGTTTTAAATGTTTAAAGTTGCATGTAAAATAATTGTTTTCATTGGAGTTTTCTTCCTCTATTTCATTATTTTTTTATTTTCTTAAATTTACTGTTGGACATGTGACATTTTTACTGATGTACAACCAATCATATTTTATACTTTGTTTATGATTATAACACATTGATTTTTTATTTTATTATTAACAAAATTAGTTTAGTATTTTACTTATAGTAATGATTTTACTTTAATAATATTATTATTTATAGTATTTATATATTAATAATGGGGTTGAACAATATTTTACTTGTTTATATTAAAGCATGCACTTACACTTATCTTGGTGTGATTGTAAAACAGGTATTCTGGAATATTGCCTCAGGTATTCCCAAACTTTTTCTTGCATCGACCCCTTTAAAAATGATTTGTTTCGTCAACCTCACTGACTTTCTGTATAAAATTCAACATACAAAGTAATTATAACGTAAATAATTGCATCTAAATGATTTGTTAACAATTGGACAAAAAATATGAACAAAACTTTTGAAAAAATGGCTTCTTACGCTTGTTTCATTATTTTGAGTACTATTATAATTTTCAATTTGTGGAACTATAAACTACTGATGTTTCAAATCTTTACATAAAGCAATTACAATATTTTTTGTAATCAATAGAATTTTGATTACACCAATCAGTTGTCAGTACATATTCGGCTATTGAACCCCAGTCGATCCCTTTATCAGTATTAACCTCTCTCATATTTCATCATCCTCCAGGGGGCTTATTCCAACCCCAGTTAGGAAACACTAGTATAAATGATTTATTTGAATACATTCTTGTATTATAATTATTGATTTGTAAAATAAAGTTAATAATAAATTTGATTTGTGATAACTGAAATATCACAATAATCCTAATGTCTACTATCGTGGGTGATTATATTGATACACCATGACAAATCTGGGTTGATTTTATAATAGTAGTCCGTCCATCAGTCTATCCATCATTCTTAGTGTAGCCTGTTTGTCCGCCTGCCGGTCCGTCTGTCGGTCCGTCTGTGGTCAACGTTAGCGCCCAAACCATTTAGTAATCTGTCTTTGGAATAAAGTTCTTCATGCATATTATTATGTTTAAGAAAAAAAACGAGAATACCCTAAGCCTACTGATGATTAACTAGCTCAGTCCCTACGATATGGCTTTGTCGAAGGTTTCCGGGTCAAAGACTCTCAAGATCCCAAACTTCAGGAGAATGGTCTATTTCTGTACTGGAGCTTCTCTCTGACCCTTTCATTACCCGTCAAATTAATACACAAGTTTGAAAGGAGCAAATCCCACAAAGCAGGTTGTAATTAGAAGTGGGGCTGTGAAGCGAAACTTATACCGGTAACATTCTTAGAAAACTTGGGAAATAGACGATCGAGTTTAGTGACCAATTGCAATTCTGTCCTGACACACATTTACTTGTAAACATTTTTTTGCTTTTTGTCTTCCTTTCAGCTTTCCACGGGCCAACATTTCATACCTTCACTTTCAGTTATTGTATTACACATTCTTTGAATTAAAGCCTCTTCCAAGTTCTCAATGTTTGGAAAAGCAATTGATAGAATATTTTAAGTTTAAGTAAGTATTTTTAATACGAAACTTCTATTCGTGTAGTAAGCTACACTATAACATTACAGCGTTTTTATTTGCGTAAATTGAAGTTTGAAAAGGGTTATTTTTTTAGGAATACCCCTTCCACAGACAATGGCACGAAAAAATTGCTCAAGTATTAAAAAATTACCTAAAATTTTGAAGCATAACATTCAATCAAAGAATACCGTTCTTTAAGAAATAATAACATAGCTTTGTAAAACTCTCTTCACAATGTTCTTCATTTTATCTATATTTGCTCGCTTTCTCTTTCCCTTTCGCTCTCTCTTTCTCTTTAGCTCTTTCTCGCTTTTTTTCTCTCGCTCTCTTTTCCTCTCTCCCCCCTTTGTTGGAGACTTTCCTTCGTCAGTGGGAGATTGGGCAAATGTGAGTGGGTATCAATCCATGCACAGGATGCGGAATGAAGGATTGCCAGCTGAACGAGGCGCTGTTCCCAAACTCGTCTGGAAATTACCGATCAGAGTAGCAGAGCAACGATCTCGATTCCGACATGGTCACTGATGTGAAACTGATTAGCAACGCACCCATCCAGCACTGGCCCCACGAGGTACCGAAGGTTATGTAGCCGTAACAATAATTTCTACAATTTGTGCATTGCTATTATTGATGTTTTTTATGATTTACATTTTAAACGCAGTTTGTATTTCGTGGGGAGTGCAGTGTGAATACTTCTGGTTGCACATACGTACAATGTCATGTAGAATATTACAATGCGACAAACATCACTATCGGGAAGCTGTGCAAACATTTCTTAAAAATATATTGTAGTTAGTGGATAAAATGATCGAAATTCAAGTGTTAATGCTTGCAATTTTCATGTTTAAAACACACGACTCTGATGGAACTTTATGAATGTACAGATTGAAGGGGACTCTATATTTTCCGCCTACAAACACTACATCTGTGTACGACTCAGCAGCAATCGCGTTAATTCATATAGTAATATTATCTTCAACACCGGCATCAGACCATCATACATTCAACTTACATTCTATGCGTTGAATATTTGGGTCGTCACCACAAAATGGCCGCTTACTGTTTGTTGTAGAGTTTTAGAAACAAAACTTAAAGGTCGCTAAAAGGGAATAGAATAAGTTGTATATTATTCATACTGTCCTACATATAATGTTTATATGCATACAGTTCTGTCCCATTTTTCCTTTCTTCAACAGCCATTAACACTCGATAAAACATCAATACATCACTTTAAAAAAATATAATTATTAAAATCAAATATTCTTTACAATGTTTCGGGCGAGAGTTTCACCAATCATCTGGTATCAGAACCTTTTAAAAACATTTCGAACTTTTTACAATTGACAAAATCAAGAACAGTACGGCAGAACTTTTATGTATAAAAGGGTATAGTGGGCCCTCCCGAAACGAGCCACCCCAGCTCCACAAACTGCAGGATTCGTATGCAACGGGCACCCGCCAGGGCATAAAACCCAGCGACACGAACTAGCTGGCTGTCGGGCAGGCAGGCCCAGCCTCCTGCAGCCGCGCGGGTGGCCAGGGGCGGAGCAGAGCAGCCAGAGATTAGATAAGATTAGGGCGGCGCAGCTGGGCTCCCGCGATGCGGTATGTCCAGCGGCCGCCTCCAACGCCCCGCTTCCCTCTCCTCTCTTCCTCGCCACCTCCCTCGCCTCCGCCATCTGCACTTCCCCTGCCTTCACCTTCACCTCTCTTGCCTGCGCCATCTCCCCCATCCCCTGCCTTCCTCGCCTCCGCCATCTGCACTTCCCCTGCCTTCACCTTCACCTCTCTCGCTTGCGCCATGTCCCCCATCCTCTGCCTTCCTCGCCTCCCCCATCTGCCCTTCCCCCGCTTTCGCCTCTACCTCTCTCACCTGCGCTATCTGATCCATTCTCTGCCTTCCACACCTCCACTATCTGCCCCGCCCCTGCCTTCCTCTCCACCTCCCTCGCCACCCATCTGCCTCTACTTCGCCTTCGCCACCTCCGGCCCCATTTGCCGCCCCCGCTCCATTGCCGCTCCCACCGCCTCCACTTCTCGTCCTCGGCCCCCTTCTGCTCCGCGCGCACGGGTCCCCCGGCTACTTAGGCTGCTATTTCGAGCGACCGCTGGGAAAATATCCCTCGCCGTACGCCCGGAGCATGGGACACGTCTCTGCCTGCGGGACACGCCACGCGCGAAAATGGTTGGCGGTCGAGAGAAGTACTCTGATATCCTTGCAGTCACTATGTTTAAATCGAATTTCCCAACATATTTCGTTATTTTGAAGTTATGAATTGGAAGTTGAACAAATTGACATCGTCTTTAACATTTTCATATAAATCGCTACAAACGTTTTTCGTTGTCTGTCAACACCACCATCAATATCATTATCATCATCATCATCATCATCATCAATATGCTTCTGATAATGACAATTCATTTCAAGAATATTAGCGATTTTTGTTTGGAAAAATTGTTGGATACAATAGAATCAAAATATTTCAAGTTTTCATTGAGGTTCTAATGAAAGAGATTGCACTTCACTTTTACTTAAATGAATTTAGAGCTCTGAAAAGTGACATCATAAATCATCCTCTTTCCTTTCGCGACTGTTTCCAAGAACATTTAATTTTTATATATTAATGTACACAAAATCTGTAACGTTAATTATATATATATATATTCTTCTTTTGTTGTAACTGAATGATTAGACTTCGTAGACAATGTCATTTATTTGTGTTTAGGACTACTTTACGTATTCTTAAACTCTGTTCTCGTGTTTTCTATTGTTTGCCAAATTAAAATAGTCATAAATGTCGCTTGGAAGAAAAGAAATGTGACGAGTATTTTTTTGTGAAAAGCGGGTATTCAAACAAATGACATTGCACCGCCTTTTCAATTAGTTTATTTTCGATTTGCGTAATTTTCATTTTGGATACACGAAGGGTTCAATTTTCATCAATATTAATAAATATGGTAGTTAATAAGCGAGTTAGTCTGTGACGCACGAGTCAAGTAATTGTGGCATGTTTTTCTTTTATATTCATGGGAACATTAAACAATTTTTGCCATAAAAATAAAAATGAAAATTTGAATGATCTCTAAGAAATACTGAAAAAGTGCGTACTTCTTCATCGAATGATGAAAACAATTTAGATTGCATTTCATTTTGTGCAAATAACTTTTATTATCACAGCTTATTGGAGCATTGGTTTTAGGAATACCACTACGAGCTAGAATATACTACATAGAGTGGCTGAAGCGCCTTCATCTTTGAAGAAAATTGATGCCAGTTTTTTTGCAGTCAAAGCAGCGCCCTCTGGGAAACAAAGTATTCTATACTGAGATTTATGCAACTCTGTCCTTCGCAGTTCTGAGCTGTTAACGTTTTCATCCAATCGGGAGCTTGAACGTTACAATAGTGACGTCACTAAGGTGACGTTTAAGCTTCCGATTGGATTAAACTGTCAACAGCTGATACCTGTCAAGGGCAGAGTTGCGAAAATCGCAGTGTAGAATTACGTTTGGTGCTAGTTAACGACAGTTACACCGCCATTTGTATGTTTTGACTTCAAGAAACATGGCGGCCACTAGTTCGACGAGCCTTCTCCAAGAGCGCTGAAACTATAGACTGCCACTCTACCTAGTAAATTCTAGCTCGTTGGAATACCATCAGTGTATAGCAGTGGTTGACACTTTCACAGACACATACCTGCACCGGATATCCACAAATATTTATTGCCACAAATATCAATTTTGGAGAACATCGTCTGAACGGTTTAGCCGCTAGTGTTATTCACAGACGGACGGACAGACGGGCACCCGTTCTGCCATCATTCGAGTATTCGTATTTCGATATCAAGGACCCACAAAATATGGATTCTGACTACACCACATGTTAGAGGATTTTTTCTAAATTTAGCATTTGGATTTATTCTTTTTTTCATTACCAGGGCCCTGTAATAACAGTTTTTCTGTGGTAAATTCGCCTTTTTTGTGCCGCATCACATAACGTTTCTCTACTCCATAGGAAGAAAGTAAAAATTGCTAGTGGGGAGATGGTTTGCGACACCAGATCCCAGGGAAAGAATTGAGAGATACGAACGTGACTCTAACCGGAAGGTCCTAGCTTCAAGTCCTGACGGTGGCAGGATTTTTGGCACTAGCTTGTCAGCTATGTGAAATTGAGTTGCTGTCTGGAGGAGAATTTCAGTGGCCGGCTGATCTGATTGGTAATTTTCCGTGTTTTTTTCGATCAACACCAGACAAATGCCGGAGCAGTACCCTAAGAAACAGGCCACGGACTGCGCGCGATCTTTCCTTTCTCTTCCTTGCCCTACTCTCACCTCTTACACACTACCACACTTGCCGGGATACCGGTCGAGGGCTTAGAGATTGTTCCGGCTGGGCCGGTGCCCCACTCGTGGGAGATATCTGTTTGGGGGAACCCCGCTAGCGAACGTGTAGGTTGGAGACGGATGTCGCCATCTAGCGACAAAAGATCACTGCCACCTTCCAAGAAAAATGCATGCATTCACTTACGAGAGTAATGACTTCAGTAGTTGATGCGCCCAGAATCACTAATAACCAACCAACGAATATGACGCTGCTTTGCGCAGACGTAAGAGATCGGGACAAGCGGACACGGTAGTCAGGAGGTCAGACTGCAAGGTCATCGGCGAAGCTCACCAGCTGGCGCGTCGACGCTCATTAGGGGTGATGCGCTAATGTCAGAGACGGCGTCTGTACGAATGGCCTAAATATCGATTTTCATGAACTTTGCACTGACACTGCTGCATCACCAAACAATTATAAGATAAATAAACACAGCATGATTATATGCATGTGAATTTTGTGAGTGTAAGAAAACGATGAGGAGATAGTGTTTCAAGTAACCCAAGAATGAAACCAACGAATGTCAGTTGTCTGCCTTTAGAATAAACTTTTTTATATTTGTTATTAACAAACTAATCATTTGCCCTTTTGGTAATGTCGTCTCGAAAGTTAATTTATATGAGTTGTGTGTGCCGTTTGAACTCATATCTTCTCCAACGCAGAGCTGCCCACATATGAGGTTCTCATGCCAGTACGAACGCCTCCTTATAAATTCGGCCAGATTGCTTTTACTCCACACGAGTGACCTGGCGCATTTTTTGGATTGATATAGTATCTTTGACGACAATTTAATTTCAATAACAAAACACGAGTGAATGAGTGGTTTTGATTCCCAGCGCGCTACTAACTGTATAGGCTATTAGTCCCGTAAGTGTAATGCATGTTACACTCGAGAGGAGGCGATATTCCTCCCCTGCTGAGATACGTGAGACACGGCTCCAAATTGCCATGTTGGCTTGTGGAAGTTTTCTTCAATTGCCTTTCCTGGATATCTCAACCCCTCATTCGGGACAAGTTGTAAGCTCCCGACTGGTCTTCCGACATGTGTGGTGAGCTAGTGAATGTAGACTTTTCAATCTGTGCACTCAACTGACGTCACAGAGCGGAAACGGTTACATTGAATGTCGTCTTGAAAACATTCTCTTCCTCTAACTTCTCTAACAAAAGAATTACACCTATTTTTCATTTAAGAAGCAGGCGAAAAAACCTGTCCTGTCATGTTCTTGGCTCGACAGCCCGATACGGGTCATGGCCGACCAGCTGTGGCTCAGTCTTACGGCCATGGGATAATGGGTTCGTGTAGTTAGCACAAAGACATCCTTTCACCGTATATCCTGGTCTTCTTAACCTTGTACTAGGCTTTATCATCGTCGCCCAGGAAATTATGCTAGGCCATTTGTAAAGAAAGCGCATGGTTATTATTTTGCCCCGACCGGGAATCGTACCCGGGCTTGCGCTTTGGAAAGCGAGGACCCTAACCAACGAGTCACCGAGAACGCACGCAGGGAAACCAATGAAACAAATGACTATCGCAGGCCCAACGGATTCCTGAGCGATTACAATCCTTAGCTCGTGTTCTTTGTCGTGTGAGTCGCTCTCGCTGACACGGTCATCGAGTACACAGGCATCTCGTGGGAACTCAAGTGTGTGTGCATGAGGAAAGTCAGTGGCTAGAAAAGGCAGGAAAGATCGTTCGCGATCCTTAGCCCGTTTGTTAGGGACCTTCTCCGACAGTCGCATGGTACTGAGCAACTAAACGACGGAAACTATTGAACAGGGGCAGCCGGCAGCTAGAATTGTCTTCCAGGCAGCAATTGAACTCGGCACAGCTTTGTAGCTCGTGTCGAAAAGACGCCAACGTCGGGGCTCGGGTCCTAAACCTGTTGGTCAACGACGTAGCAAAGGCAAAGGTGTTTCCACTAAACCGTTGCAGCCGATCAAAATATGATGATTATTGACACTTCCTTTTTTAAGTATGCTGAGTTTTTTTGAGTGAGCTGCTTTAGCACTCTTGATACGAATGAAGTAAGAAAGCTTCTATAAACAATTGTCGTTATAATAAACTAATATGACTGGCAAAAAGTGATATTCGGCCTCACAATTTGCCTAACAAATGAAAAAAAAAATACAATTTGTTTGAAGAGTTTTTAATTAAAAGTCATAATTTAATACGTAGTAAAAGTGGCACTTGCGTAGGTTATATTGCAAGTCTTTTGTTTACAATTTCT